GGTCAAGATTAAGATGCTTTTCATTGTCCTAAAAAAAAAAAATCTGTCACTTTTAAAATGGTAATGCTTTCAGCCAAGTTGCTACTAACATGAATATGTTGCTAATGTGTCTGAAATACTTATGTTTCCACAAACTCTAAGGATTCTTGTAAGTTCCAGGGAGCTGAATTGGATCCAGACAAACAGGTCAGATTCACTCCAGTTATTCAATCTTTCCCTGGTCCCAGGACTCCCTCCCCTCATGTTGGGACCCCCGGAGAACCCTTCCCTCATCTTGCAATCTTCCCCTCAAGTGACAGGACCTAAGAAAAAATTTTCTTTCTATGAAAGGTTCAGGCTTTGACGCTGATCGGCTCTACCTCTTTAAGAGACAGACCCTGCCCCCTGACAAGTCAGGGCATGCGCAAGACAACGTGCTATGTCATCACCACGTCACCCGCCACCCACGATGACTCTGGACATGCGTGGAACCTCAGTGTGCATGTGCATGTCTTCCCTTTAAAAGCTCCAACTTCTCTCTCTCTCTACTTTCTCTGTTTCTTCTTGGCTCTCTATGGCGACCGGCCATGGCGGTCAGCCATTACCTCTGTTCCTCTTCTCTCTTGGTCTCCCTACTCTGCCGGGCCCATATAATAAACTAATCAATATGTCTCATCCCTCAGCTTTCTCTTTTCCTTTTTTAAAATAAAAACATAACAGCTCGCTCTGCTTCCTGCTTGCAGATGGAGATGTGAGCTCTTGGCCTCTGCTTCAACGGCATGCCACCGTGCCTTCATTACACGATGTTTCTTAATCGCCAACCCTTTGAAGCCTTAAGACCAACTACACTTTTTCATAAGTTACCCTGGTCTTGGTGTTTTATCATAGCAACTGAAAAGTAACAAAAACACCAAGCATTCCTAGGCTCCGTTAACTTGAAAGCCCTTTCTTCAATTTTAAGAAACATTGTATTTTCAATTTCTTCTATTAAAATTTCCCCCTTTCTTTCTGAGCTCCAGTGAAGTCTCTTGGATTGGTTAACTCTCCTATGATACTTTTTTTAGAAGTTCCTTTATTCTCATTATAAATATGGGGGAGTATTGTGGTGAAAATGGATTTGATATTTTTCTTTAAATATAAGCAAACAATGAGTAAATACAACATTAAACAACTCCAGATTGGCTTATCTTCAATCAATAATGAAGAGTGAAGGGGCTGCATAGGAACTCAGTATGCATGCGAGAGGAGCTCCCCCTTTTAAACCCGCAGCATTATTCTCCTCTCTCTCTCTTTCGGGCAGTCAACCCCTCTCTCTTTCTCTGTCTTCTCTCTACCCTGCTCTGTTCTTCCATTTCTCTCTCCCCCTCTCACTCTTCCGTCCTATAATAAACTGGTTAATGTGCTCTCTATAAGTCCATGTCCATCTCTTGAATTTCTAATTTAAGCAAAAGAGTAAGAGTTGCCACTGAGTTTACCACAGTGGTCTGCAGGTCAGTCACATAGAACAAGCTTCTCCTGTTTCAGTGGCCTACAATGCTCCAAACCAGCCAGATGCAGTAGCATCATCCCAAGTCCTTAGGAGGCCTAAGAGCCTATAAATTCAGAAATTGCCTCTGCTGATGTCACTGGCTGTGGTGGTTTGTATGAAAATGGCCCCCACAGGCTTATAGGAAGTGGCACTAATTGAAAGGATTAGGCCATGTGGGCTTGTTGAAGAAAGAATGTCACTGGGGGTGGGCTTTGAGCTTTCAACAGCTCAAGCCAGATCCAGTGTCTTGCTCTTCCTGCTGCCTGCTGAGCCAGATATAGAACTCTCAGCTACCCTGCAGCTCTATGTCAGGCTTGTATGCTGCCAAGCTCCCTGCTGTGATGATAATGGACTAGACCTCTGAAACTGTAAAAAGTCCCCATCAAATGCTTTCCTTTGTAAGACTTGCCTTGGTTATGTCTCTTTACAGCAATACAACATTGACTGCCCTTCTTCTTGACCATGAGGAAACATTGCCCTTTCCCTGTATTTGGGAAACTGCCTGCTGGGAGCATCCAGGACCAGATCACAGCATTTCCCTGAGTTGAAATCATCCCATACAACAGTGAAGAGGCTGTTCTGAATCTAGGGAATGTCATTCTCTGGTTGGCTGATCCACCTCTGCTCTGGCATGGCTGACCCACAGTGAGCATTGTGGCCATTTCTACTTCTTATAGGTTCAAGGACAGATCACTTATGGAGATCAATGGCTCAGCAGGCAGAGCCCTGAGAAGTCAGATGAAGACTCAGAAAAAAAACTCCTAAATTTTCAATTTTCCAATTATTTTTCTGTTCCTCTTTTATAGAATTCCCTTCTTAATTTCTTAAATCTAACAAGTCCATAGTTGACTTCTCTGAGATCAGGGCTTTGTTTTGTTTGTAACTTACTAGTATTTTAACTTGTCTCTTTAACAATATTGGTTCCACTCAATGATCTGATTCTTAATTAAGAACAGACTAGATTGATATGAGTTTCCTGTGTGCTCTAGCTCAGTTAGTTTCCTTAACTGTATGGAAAATTTCCTTGGGAACTTCCTGTAGGGTCAGGGGTGGGTCAGGGCAAGGCAGTGAAGTACAAGAGTGTCTCAGTTGTTATGCTTTGTGTTAGGGCAAGAGTTGGCTGTTAAGACTGTGGGAATTTACAGATGCCAGAATGGGGCTTTAACCTAGATGACAACATCTGGTCTGAACATCAGGGTGGGAAAGAAGGATAGCATGCCAACTGGTGCAGACTGTTCCATATATAAGACTTCAATTAATCTTTTTTTTCAGTACTACTTCTCACGATTCCCATCCATTGTACCTGCCAATTCTGGGCCAGAGTCTCTTGGGATTCCGCAAGCAGGCTGGTTCCCAGATCCCTCTAGTTTCTTCCCTAGCACATTCTGAACTGTAAATCTTTCCACCTCTTCTATCCGTCAACATGTTCCCATCTGCCTTGTCTTCTAGAAATTCATTGAAGGCTGTCATCTGTTGCTTAACACCCCTTCTCATTGCTATTCTACCTCTATTGCTTAAATTACATCAATTACATTAATACAGCAAGGTCCTGGAAGGGATAAGAACAATCTAATGTTTAGTCTTCCTGAATTGTCTGGCTAGGAAGAAATATATATGCATTATTTGTTACTGTTTTTTAAAGCTATAGATTAAAATAAAAACAAGTGATATGTACACCATTGACTGAACACAAATACACTTTTAAAACAAGGTAATTTTTCACCATTTCCCCTAAGTCTAAAAAAGAAAACAAAGCAGGAAAATTGTTTCTTCTGAATTTGATGACTCAGGTGTATCTGCATCAATCAACAAGGAAAAAATAGTCTTTTTTGTGTCATGGACTAAGAGGAAGCTCATAGGATGTTCTATGTGGGTTTCCTGAGGAGTGACACTAATTTTGGAAATGTTGACTTTTAAGGGCTTCTAACAGGTACCTCTAGAAGGTGTGTCCAATAGGCAGCTGGAAAGAGACTTATGAATCAAGAAGACTGGGTTTTAAATCCTAGTCATTAATAAAAATACTGTATATGAAGTCACCACAAAGCAAATGATTTACAATGGCAGACAGCAGATTTCTAGGGAATGCATAGTGTAGAAGAAAAATCAGTGGTTTTTTGTTTGTTTTGTTTTTTGTTTTTTTTTTGAGTCAGGGTTTCTCTGTGTAGCCCTGGATGGCCTTGAATTCAAAGATCTGCTTGCCTCTGTCCTCAAGTGCTGAGATTAAAGGCGTGTGCCACCACCGCCTGTCAAAAAATCAACTTTTAATAGATATTGCAAGTGAGTGATCTATTAGGTCAAATGCTGCTGAGATGTCTACTGAGAACAGCACTATAAGTTACAAGCACTATAAGTTACAAGGAGAGTTCAAAGACAAAGGTTGAGGGAACCTTAAGTGTCAGGGTTGCTAACATCATGCTGGCACAGGGCAGCTTCACACTCTGGAGCAGCAGAGTGTGAAGGAGACATGTAGATCCCACCACAGACAATTGGTGTCGCAGCCATTTATTTGTGACAGCCATTTTGTCACTATCACAAACAACAGGCAAAGTTTGATAAGTTCATTCTTAACAAATTGGCTTGAGAGTGGCCTCAGCTGACCTGGGACATCTGTTAAAAGCAACCAGAGTGAATACAAATAGTTTGCATTGACTATTATTCAGTTAACCAAGCCCAGAACCCAATCCTGAAAGAGGAGAGCTGAAGCTGAAGAGAAACAGGAAAGTTAACTGGTAAAGAAATGGATGCATCTTTCTTCTCAGGGTCATAAGCATTAACAAAAAAGATATGTACATCCATGAAGAATATTAAGAGCTGTGCATGATACTTAGATTCCCAGCATGGGGAGGTTGAAGGAGAAAGATGGTGGGTGAGTCCAAGACCAACCTGGGCTACATAGTAAAACATGAAGAGGGAAAAAAAAAAAGAAAAAAAATGTAGTCTTTTTAAGAAGAGAAGCAATTCCATGTGTCTATTGCTTACTGGGCTGGATGTATACACAGAGGTACAGAACTGGCCTCTTACGGTATTGAGCAGAGGTACCTCAATGTTTCAGACTATGAAGGTATCAGACTATGAAGGAATGTACATACCACTGTTTCTTTTTTTTTTTTTTAATTTAAAGATTTATTTATTTATTATACAGTGTTCTGCCCGGATGTGTCCCTGGAGGCCAGAAGAGGGCACCAGACTACATTACAGATGGTTGGGAGCCACCACATGGTTGCTGGGAATTGAACTCAGGACCTCTGGAAGAATGGGCAGTGCTCTTAACCCCTGAGCCATCTCTCCAGCCCTATACCACCGTTTCTACGCTTTCCCTACCGTACAATGAAGAAATGTACCACACTATATGAAGTAAATTGTGAAAAGCATCCTTACCTGTTTCTTTCCAGGAAGTGCATTGCTTATACATTTTTTTTCTTGAGATGTCCTCCTGTTCATGTTCTTCTCTTTACAGGGCTCAGCTTCTGTAGTGTATGAGTTGCACACAACCCCTCCTGCAGAACTCATCACCTGCTATAAAGAAAGCCATAAGAAGGATACAATAGCATGGGCAGTCACCTTGCACTGCACAGCAGGTTTCACTTTAGTCTTCCTTATTTAAGTTTCCTATGATAGGCCCATTCTGCCTGCTCCCTAACTTCAGTGCTCAGTATTAAAACACAGCCTGGGTGCTCGCTCTATCACTGAGCCATATCTCCTATCTACTTTTACCATCCCATTGCTTCTTAATGTACAAGTTCCATTAGAGATACATTAACCAAAATTAAGACAGAATTACTAATTACCATTCTCTAAATTATCAAGCATAGATTCAGAAGGATGAGTATATTAGGAAGAAAAAAATGATTTAAGAACTAGTGGCTTATTCAGCAAATACTTATGAAAAGAAATCAACTTAGTATTAAATGTTATTAGCTTATAACAATTCATGAAATGTAAATT